TCTTAGGGGATGTTCTGAGGTAAAAATTAAAGGGGAAGTATAACGACTACTTTGGTGTAGGTGGTGATGTAGAAGGTGGTTGTTGTAGTATATACAGTATCCATATAGTGTATAGTGCTAAAGGGAAGGAACGTGATGCGAAAGGCGAATGTCTGTTAGAGGGTGCCTGCGCCAACAACCCCTAACTAACGTAAATAAGATGTGTCCTAAAGGCGGCATGGTACACTACAAAAAAAAAATATATGTACATGTGTATATATCTGTATCTATACATGAAGAGAGCTACAGATATCCTGAGAAAGGGAAACAGAGAGGAGAAAAGCCGTTAAATTCTGTCTTTACTTTTACTGCATAAGAGTTACTAGACTATAACACGGAATATCATGGCTCGTGGTGGTGGCATAGAATCTATATAGAGAACTATCTCTAGTACTATGAAACCAGGACGGATCCCCGATGCCAATTATGGGGCTTCTTTCAACCCCCGTGACATTATAAGATATAAGAGAAAAGATCCCCTGGAAAATCTTAACACCGGTCGTGTCTTACGATGCCCCCGTGACTAATGCGAGGGTGCTGATGCTTGTCCGGCTAAATTAGGACGTACACACCTACGTTTGGCAATTAGGGAGCCCTAAATTTTCCAAGTGTAGACGAGCCCACCGCATTTATCTTATTTTTTGCTTCGGAGATTTTTTCTCTTCTTTTGTTATTTTTCCGCGGTAATAATCAGGATTATACTTCCAAATACGAGGGGGCGGAGTGGCCCTTGAAATCTGGTCGAAATTTCAGAACGCAAAGATCCCTTATAAATTAGAATTCCGATCTTTAAAATACAAGGTGATAAATTTTCCAAAAAAAAAAGCCAAATAGTGTTGAAGTGAATTAGTGATTACAATAATTTTTAATTTATGTATTTTCAGACGACTATAAAACAACAGTATTTCGTAAACAATTCAATTGTATAGTTACCATACTGTTAGTTTATTTTCCTCAGTCGACATTATTATAATTGTCATTCAATTGCAAATCATTTCAATACTAGTATACTCAAAGTACCGCAGTAGTTTGTATGTTTTGTCAACATTTTGTGATTGTGTTAATCTGAACAACGAGATGTCTAAAATGTCATAAATTACAAATCAAAACGTCAGCATATATATCAATAAAAGCATTGAATTAACCCTTAAGGCAGAACGGTTCATATATTTTACATATTATGGTATAATATTCAATATTGTCAATTGAATTACTACCCTATGTATGACATATTGTTGTTTTGAAGATGTAATAGGTAATAATCAATTATGAAACCATGTATTCAACAGTTAAATTTAATTATAGCATTTGATCGAAATGTAGATACATTTATTAGGTTGTAATGTAAACTCATTTTAGTAAAATGTTTGAACATTTTTTCTTGTTGATTGATGCAAGCTTACGTTGGATCTTTTAATCATCCCTTTACCTATTGCATTGAAATGTTTTTTGAATAAAAACGCAAAAAGAAATTAAAGCTTGAAATTTTCAGTATTTTGAGATAAAATGCAATGCATAATGATCATTCAGCACCGAAACAAAATTTTCTTCAAGACAGTATTCTACTTTAGACGCTCCAAAAAAGACTACTTTTAAAAATTATTTGAGATTGTGAAGAATAAAGATATTGATGTAGGGTATAGTATGTTCGATTTAGTAAATAAAAAATTTCGATTATATATTTTTGTCCTGTTGAGATACTGAAACACCTTTTGAACCGAACATCTTAATTTGAGAATGGATTTGCGCTGATGTTGAAATATCAAAAGTGGGCGATTTAAAATTGAAAAATATTTGATTTTTCGTTCAACATATCACTAGCAGTTGCCGAACTTAAAATTTTTGATTTATGCTCATAAATAATAAAATGGTAGTGAAAAAAGAACAAAAGAAAACTTTTTTTTCGCAGAAAAGAATATAAATCTTTAAATAATCCGAATTAAGTTGAAAAATTTTTAAAGAATTTTTTTTTAGTAGATCTTGTTCTCAATTTAAATAGTCTCAATAATCTACAATCTGAAATGAATTAGCAAAGTGATTAATTCAGAAGAATAGTGAAAATTATAATTGGCATTGAAAATAGGGAATTCTCAAATTAACTTGAGTATTAAGATTCGTAGTGAGATATTTAGAATATTCAACCGTTGTGAATAAGATGAAATAACCACGGAGAATCCTTGGATCGTTGAGTAAATTCCCGACGTAGCTCTAACGCTTGTCGATGTGGTCGGCCACGGGAATTAACTTTGACTGACTCAGGTGCAATTAGCAAAGTTGCCGAGCCGGCTTCACGCGTCTGTGAATCCTCTCATCTCTTTTGGCTAAAGCTATACAAGATTGAGAGACAGAGATACATACACACATATTATACATTGAAAGATAAATTTACAGTGTTCCTTCCGATTTATCCGCGGATTAATTGCTCCGATGTTGCGCTGTATTTTACCATCCGTGAGAGAAAGCAAAGATGAATAAAGCCAATTTCATGATATCCTATATAATGAGGAGATGATAACTAAAATGAGATCCAACGTCAGCATCACTACTACAACTACTACTACTATAATATAATACAATATATACTAGTCTTTATTCCATTTATTAGCATTCCCACGATAAGGAAATGAAATTTGTCCCACGATCTACGGACTAGGAAATAAACAACGTTTATTACTTTAGCGTTAATTCTACGAAATACATGCTGAATAAAGTTTATTAAACCAATGTTATTATTATTCGCAGCATGCATAGTAAAGCAAACAATCCAAAAACCATGTGAATCGTTTAATTAAGAAAGCCACATGTGCTCATATTCAAAACTACTTATTCTTCGGCGCAGACCATACCAAAAGCACTTTTCGGTCAACATTTATAGATAGAATAATAACAGTAATAAACTCGGACTTGAATAACAAATAATTCGAGCTTTATTCATACAAAAAGTTTTCTAATATGATTTTCAATAAAACGCTACTCTTAAAACCCGTACATAATTAAGTTTATGAAAAACACTTCATTTATTGAACAAGTGCAGTAGATTTATTACTATTAGTCTTATTGAATGTCAAAGTGTCAATTGTTTTTAAAATAAAAATCTTTCGATGCTTCAAAATATTGAGATTCTTTGACTGAATAAATGTTTTCATCTTTTGTGGATTAATCCAAAAAAGTTATATGACTTTAAGATGAATTGATTAGTTTAGAAGATATGATTAGACATTGTTTTATCAATTCAAAATACATAAAAGAATATCGATACTGCTATTCTAATACGTCGTATCGCACAAAATTTGACATATTGACTTTTTTTGAAAAGTAGAATCACAATAATATTATGCAAGTCATATTAAGTCAAGTAATTTTAATGGTCAAATAGTTTAATATTTATTTTTAAATAAATATTTTCATCCGTTGAATCCCATTTAATCAATGTTAAAAATGAACTGTTTTTACCATCTGGCTGTACTGATAGAAAAATAATCTTGATTCAAGAAACTTTTTTTCTTCAAAACTTGAACTCTTGAAACTAGATATAGATATATTTCTTTCAAGAATTTTTGTCTCTTGGTTCAAGATAGGCGATAACATTGATTCAAGATGTTACCGACTTGAGTCATTAATTAATTTACTTATTTCTAAGAAATAATTTTTTTTTGGTATAACAATTAAAGACTATTTAATTTTTGAATTATACTTTGATGAATTATTTTAAATTTTTTAAACGATAATGTTATTTTGATTGAAAAACTTAAATCTATCGATTGAAGATAATATAGCTCTTAAGCCAAGAAAATCTAAATCAAGACAAGAAATTCTTAGAGCAAAATAATCATTTGTCTTCCAAAATAAATTCTTAGATCAAGAAAATATCTCTTGAGTCAATATAAATTTTCTATCAGTGTGTAAAATTTTCTAAATGTGGGATACGACGTATTAGAATGGCAGTATCGATATTGTAGTTTGATAAACTGTTAATGAAATAATGATAATTTCAACGATGAAAATAATTAAATTTATAAATACATATAATAAAAATTCTTCACACATTTCTAATAATTTGTTTTTTTACCACTGTCTCCCTAATTCATTACTGAAAAATTGCTCAATTAATAAACATTGGCACTTTAATACCTAACCATCGATATTTTATAATTCATAGCCTAACAATAGCACAATAAATTGAAGAGTAATTGTAATTACTAATTCCATACACAAGCTATATCGGTTTAATTACATGAAAATACGAAAATTATCTAAAGCAAACATCAAACATGTTATTTACAGTATTTCTCAAAAAACCATTTAATATATTTTATTAAAAAACCAAATGAAAATATTTACTTTATTGAGCGTACATGGAATTTGTTTGTAAAGTTTTAAATTTCCACGGTTGCGTCAATTCCGCACTTTCGCTTGGCAGAATTTAATCGGCTTAATTGCTGCTTCCTGTTGTCGGTCATCACCCATTCTCTGTAGTTCTCCTCCTCTTATTTAGTTCAGTGTTGCCCTTCCTTCAGCACCAGCACCCCATTTCACATTTGTGTCCATCCTCCGCTCTATAAACCATATTATATATGTGTCCATGGAATATAGAATAGCACAACATACCAAACTAAACTCATCTCTCCTCTTCTCCTATTATGTCCTGTCTAGAGTATTGCTGTTGGGTTATTACGTACTGTACACTGTACATGACTCTCCCTCATCATTGAATTGAACTAATCTCTCTCGCAGTTTCACGTCACGTCATTATGGTATTTCACTAAAATGACTAAACCTGACGGTTCACTCTGTATTTCTGTATTATGCATTGCTTTTAATTTTGTTAAAATCCCCGGGAATAATAATAATAATATTAATAATCATAGTATACCAGTGCGAGGCACGGTATTCATTTTATTTATCGACATCAGCATTATTAATAATAAAATACTAATGAAATGAATTTTTAATTGAATTGCAGCTTGGACTAATGCAGCAACATTGGAGATTTTACCTACCGGGGAGTTTCAATCAAGACCCAGTGGATCAAAGCTTTTTTTCACCTGTAAGCTGTCTGGTGTAAACGACCCCACCTTGGGAACCATTCAATGGCGGGATCCATTTGACAGGGTTATTGAATCACGAAGGTAAGCTTAAACTTTGTTTTTAATAAAATATAACAGATAAATTTATCCTTAAATTGCAAAGCTAACACAAGTTTACCCTCTTAAAGGGGCATATTATCAGTGGTGTAAATTTTAGAGGCACTGAAAGTAAAATTAGTATTTTAGTTAGTCTTAGATGTTGGGTAATTATCAAGTTAAAAGGTCAATAAACACAAAACATGTTACACGAGCACCTTTTTTCTAACATTTAATTTCTTTACATTTTTTTTTTTTTTGTGCACACAGTCTCGTCGTGTTGGCGATCGACAGGCGAGTATACTAAACAAACAACCACTAACACCATTTTTTGTAACATTTATAAATACTTTCGTTTTCATTTATCGATTTTATTCACGAGTTTGCATCAAATTGGCTTACAATTCTTTTTATTTGCTTTTTTAAGATTTTTATTTGCTTATACTTGAATCGAAGCTTGAACGAACGTTGAATTTATAAATTAATTTGAAATTACAGTGACTTGATACAATTTTATATAATAATGTTATTAATATTAATAGTAAAATTTAATCAAAAACGAAAAGAATATTACTCATAATTTTACATTAAAAAGTATTTATTTATAACTCTTTGAAACTAAATAAATAAAAAAATCTTTTTGATAAAAAATTATTAAAGATATTATTTCTCAAAATTTTATTTTATTTTAAGAAATTATTTTAACGCTAATCAAATAAATTTTTAAAAATTTTAATATTATTTTATTGATTAAAATTTCTTTTTATAGTTGTTAATTTAGTTTAAAAAAAAAAAAATAGCAACATAACAATAAATAGATTATCTAATGGAAAAATATTTCTTCTAATACTTCTATAAATTCAATGCAAGTTCATAATTTAAATCCGAGTAAATATAATTAAATTTGATACTTTCGAGTGGCTTTTATTGTTAATTATACATATTTTATTCATTTCGAAATGCAATAATTAAAAAATAAATTTAGGATTAAAATTTATTTGTAGTGAAGTGAGTGGTTGTCATCAAGTGTGTTACTTTTTTAACGCTCATATACTCATACTCTTATTTCATCTGCATACATATCACTACTCTTATCATTCACCACGTCAGGGTTTATATTCCCTCATTTTTTATCATTTATTTTTTCTTTTTCGAAGAAAGAAAATGGAGACAAAGAAAAAGGTGTTCTTTACTCTCTCGTTGCATAAATTACCAAGTCTTTTCACGTTTCACCGGCCATTTTAATAGTGAATGAGACGGAGAGAGACAGAAAGAAAGAAAGAAAGAAAGAATGGGCACTTGATATACCAAAAGTAACAGAAGAATATAAGTTGAAGAGAGAGAGGATTTAAAGTCACCACTGTTTTCTCATTTGCCACCGTTAAATTCAACTCATACCCGCACCCAAAAGTGTGAACAAAAGATTTCTGACAGAGTTATCATTGTTCATACCGTAATTTGAATTTTCATATTTCATCGAATCGCCTGAACCTTCTTTAATCATATCCTCATCAGTCGGTTTCCTTTTCATTTTCATTTTCACTATTGTGCATCGTGATTTCACTTTTGATAAAGTCTAACATTTTTAACTTTAGAAATATTTTCATAATGCAAAAGTAATCCTTTCTATGACATTTAATAAATTATATTTTTATCAATATTATATCACAAATGATAATAAAAGTACAATTTATTTTTTACTCATTCGAAGGATTATTTAAGCAAATAAAACTTTTCATTAACCAAATATATGTATTTTAATTATACAGCTTGTTTTCTTCAAACGGCAAATCGGGAAACCCAGTAGTCTTTACAGAGAAGAATCCTGATAACAGTTTATCACTGTTTTTTAATCCACTGAAAGAAGATCAAACTGGTCTGTACACCTGCATAGGAAACTACGCGCAGACTGAAAGCTTCAACAAGAGTGTAAACGTTCAAACAATTGGTAAGAATATTTATTTATTTCATAAATTCATACTAATAAAAATTTAATTCAAATTTTAAAGAAATTAATAAATTTTTGTAAAATATACCAGGCAAAATATTTACAAAAATATATGTTAACATTTTTTTTTCTAATTTACTTTCTGAGCAATAAAAAAATTATCAATTTTTTTTAACTTCAGGACATTAATTACTATTAATACAATAAATGAATATCTATTGATTTTAGTAATTAAATTTTGAATCTGATGATTGGAAATTAAAAATTTTAATTCTTAGAAACATTAACTATTTAAAATGTTCTTGTAATTTCAGTATAAATTTATTAATCATGTTTAACGGAATATTCTAATTTTATTTTATTCATTATTAAAAATTTTTTTTTCTTTTACACAAAATTTACATTTGTATTAAGTTCCTCTTAATTTTATTATCAAAAAGTATAAAAAAAATTGAAATCATCAAAAATCCTTTAATGCGTTAATTTTTGCATTTTTGCATTTCACGTTCAACTAAAGTTAAGACAGTGTCGAGTTCACCGCAAAATTTTATCATTAAAACAGCGGCTTATTTTTCTTACAATTTTCAAAAACAGAGTAATAACATATCCTTTAGAACTTCTTAAAATCATCAATAATTTTTCCTTAACATCAGAAATTAATTGAAAAAATTTTCCCCAAAATTACAGACGCCATTACATGGGTTGACGCTCCAGAAACTCAATACGCAGTAGTTGGAAAAGAGTACAGAATAAAGTGTCAAGTAAGTGCCCGACCAGCTCCAACAGTCGGCTGGTACCTGGGAAACAAAGAAATATCAACAGACGACCACTACATCGTAGAAACCCACGCACTGAAAATCACTAACGTAAGAGACGAAGATTCCGGTTCATACATTTGTCGCGCAGCAGTCCAGCAGACTGGTGAGCTCGAAGAACGTCTGATAAACTTGATCGTCCAGGAAGCGCCTAAGCTTCAAGAAAATTCATCCGAGGTTGAAATAATCGAGGGAAAAACATCGAGTATAACTGTCTGCAAGTCGACTGCCGGCAAGCCACCACCACTTTACTCCTGGGTAAAATCACTCTCCAAAGAAAACTTAACAACGGTAAATCGATTCGGTGTTGACCGTGACTCTGGCGTGCTGACCATCACCGATGTGCGTCGAGAGGACAGCGGAGAGTACCAGTGCATCGCCGAGAATCCAGCGGGAGCTGCAAGCATAATTATACGCGTAAACGTGATAGAGAAGCCCAAGATCATGGAATTCCTGAACAGGACCCAGGTTGCGCAAAAAGACATTGAGATAACTTGCAAAGCATATGGGCGACCGCCACCAACTGTTGTCTTCAAGAAACAGACCAAGGATAAGCCGTTTACCAAAGGAAGGCAGGCAAATGACGACCGCATTGAACTTTCAAGCAAGACACTTGATTCGAACGGCGAAACAATCGCTACTTTATCGATCCAGCGCGTGTTGCGCGAAGACGACGGCATCTACGAGTGCATCGCAACCAACAAAGTCGGCTCCAGCTACAAGAACGGTCACTTGACCGTCGAATTTCCACCGTCGTTTGCTTCAATGACCAACCACTCAGTCTGGTCGTGGGAGCGCAGACCAGTAAATTTGACCTGCATCGCCGAAAGTATTCCAAACGCGACCATCCAATGGTTCCACGGCGAGCGCCCGATTTCTCCTTCAGAATTGTCCGGCTCTGAAGCTTACGCCCAGTATGGAAACGGTCCCATCAGCACGCTACGAGTCACTCCCATAGACACTCGTTACTACGGCCACTACCGCTGCAAGGCTAAAAATGTCCACGGTGAAAGAACCCACACGATTCAGCTGAAAGAAGGCAAGCGACCGGATGTAATTCCACAAGCACGAATGTCTGAAGTAACTGCCACGACAATGGCGTTCACAATAGTGCCGCCTCCAATGGAACCCGAGCTACCGGTCAAGACAATTACCGTTCAATACCGCGAGTACAACCAACAGTGGGCGGAAGCCAGGAACAAAACCTGGGCACTCAATTCGCCTTACATCTTGGAGCAGCTGAATCCGGCAACTACGTACGTATTCCGGTTCCACGCGACGAATGACGTAGGTTCGGGTAACTGGGGTGCTGATTTCGAAGAAAACACGCCTATGAGAACAGTTCCGAACCCACCCAAGTTCCAGCCAAGAACTGATAATCCTTCTTATGATATTTCGCTTTACGGCTATCAGTATGAGCTGAATTGGATTGCTCCTCCGGACAACGGCGAACCGATTGATAAGTACGAGATTCAGTACTGCGAAGTCAAGCGCATCAGCGGTGAATGGATTCAGCAGGACAATACTTGTTTACGCGATGAGATTAAAGGACAGAGATCTAAACATATGATTAGGAAACTCATTCCTGATACGTTCTACCGCGTAGAGCTTAAAGCACACAATGTTATTGGCTTTGGAAAGTCCGAGATTATGCAATTCAAAACTGCTAAAGGTAAGTTTACTTGTGGATTATTATTAATATTTTTTATATTGGTTATTATCATTGTTATTATTTTCTATTTATTTTTAGTTGTTTTTTTTTTTAAATTCAAAGAGCCTTTTAGTCTTGGCATTTTTTCTTATTTTTTATTTTTTTATTCTCTTAGTTTATTTGTGATTAATTTATACATTTAGAATTTTTTTTTTTTTTTTTAATTATATATAAATTGCTTTAGCTGTAGTTTTCTTGAGATAGTACGTACGTCATTCATTGTTTTTCTCTTGAGATTATATATTTTGACTCCATGTGATTTGTTGACACACAGTAAAAAATTTTGCGTCATTTTTTCGTGTTGATTTAATAGAATATAAATAAATGTTAAATTTACACTAAAGTGTTAAATATTTAATACAAAAATTTTTAACACTAAGTTTTTTCACGCAAAATTTTTTACGGTGCACCTTTTAGGATAATTTTGAATTTTGATCTTAATTAGATTCATTAATCGAATAATTAAAAATTTTATTGCTAAAAAATTCCTTTTTTTTTTTTAATCAAATTGATAAACTCTATTATTAAAATAATAGGAATTTTTTTTATAATATAAATAATATTTGGAAATTTTTTTTTTTTTTAAATTAAATATACAACTTTAAAAATTGCACTCATAGTTTTTTTAAATATCTAATTAAGCATATTTTCGATTTCTTCTTTTGAATAATTTTATATGTTAGTAATATAGAAAAACTAATTTTTAATATGAACAAGTCAATGTTTAAAGTTCTTAAAAATTGTCTACCTCAATCATGGACCCCAAAATTTTAACCTCAAGACCAAAGTAATTAATGATGCATAAGCAACTAGTTAATTTAAATAATTAGTTAAGTAGTTTCTAAATTAAAAAAAAAAATAGTTTTAATCGAGCTCAAGAAAACTTTTATCCAATTTTTCTATATTAATAATAATTAAGTAGAGTTGTAAATAAATTAGGATTGTTAGTATTAAATTGAGTGATTCTTGATATTTAAATAATTGAAAAAAAAAAAAATAAAAATAATAATAAATCGCGTGCCATAATAAAAAGAAAATAATATTGCCGATTACCAGAGTCACTTTTTTTACATTTAGAATCGAGCGGCAGCACTGTGGACTACTCGATACTATCTTCTGGAGGTTCGTCCAAGTCCAACTCCATCGTTCATGCGATTGTCACAGCTTTTGCGATTGTCTTCTTAGCCATTTAGAATCGCCATTTTTATTTACTCGTGATTTATTTGTTCAAGCATTAACGTTTAAAAACGAAAATCAACACGGACTCTTTTTAATTAATTAATTATTAATTAATAGAAAAAAACAAAAAAACTAAGGACAACTAAACAAACTCTCTCGTAATAATTATTAAGAGGAGTAATTATTTTTTTATAAACAAAATTACAAGAGTCTGAAACTGCGATCTCGTTCTCGCAGAATAAATATATTTAACTTTTTTTCACTCACTTCACTTCCGTAGGAATGAACTGAGTGATACGGTTGAATCAAAGACAACATTTTTTTTTCACCGTATTAACAACGACACTAAAGAGATAATATAAAGTAGGATTAATTAGGTGATACGCTAATTAATACACATTCCGACTAGGTTTCGTATATATAAATCATTAAAAGAATAATAATAATTACACATAATAAAAATAAAAACAAATATGAAAAAACGCGAATGCTGCTTAAAGCTCCAGCGTTCTCTAAAGTAATTAACGAAGAGCATAACGTTGAATAATGATATAGACTTGCGGATTTAAAATAATAAACATGTAAAATATTTAACCTAATATTAATGTATTTACATTATTGCAATTATTATTATTATTATTAATTTTTAGTTCTATTATTAATGCTCATTGTTAAAGACGTACTGGTACGTTTTTTCTTTCTCTTTTGTTTTTGATAATTTTAAAAAATCAGGCTAGAATACTGCCTCGTATTGCCAAAAAAAGCTTAACACACTTGTACTTGTACTTTTAAAATTATGTCAATTTATAAATCATGAGCTTACTATTAATATGTGTCAATTGATTAAATATCGGAGGGTGCAAAAAATATTTAAGTATTTTTAAAAAACAAACTGATTATAAAATTAAAAGAAAAAATTAATTTTATTGATTAATAAAATTAGCCTTTGATCTGACTTAAGATATTTTTATAGAATTTTTCTCAGCTTTTAAACTTATAAGATTAAATCTTTGATAAAGCTTTTTTTCATACAATAAATCTTTTATAAGACTATTGTGAATGCATTTTTATAATAAATAAAATCCGTTTTTATCGGACTAAATCTTTTGGATTAATTTTGGTTAGCCGAATTATATATATTTAAAAAAAAAAAAATTAATAAAATGCATTTTCTTATTGGAAATCAATAGTTTGCTTTTTAGTTATTTAATAAAAAGCATTATTTTATTATTTAGTAAGCATGTTATCAGTGAATTTATTATTTAGTTAATATTATTTTAATGAATTATTACTACTATTACTCTATTATTAATTAACATTATTATTTAGTCACGTAATATATTTAGCTAGTTAATAATTATTTAAATTGCCGCGATATTAATAAATAACATATTAATAAGTAAAAAAATATTTTTTAAATATTTATTTGATTGATAAAAATGCATGGAGCTAAAAGAAAAGTAAAAAATAGCTGTTATCATTATTTTGAGGACAATAGATAATGTTATTGTTAAGTGCGTTTAAAATATTGTATTTTTTTTTTAAATTCGGCTCACTGAATCTGGGCAAACTCAAATTCTCAGACTGAAGTAATATTTATTTTGATCATTTTGTGTTTGTTATTTTGTTTTGTTTTATTTATTTTATGTTTGAATATCGCGACAATACTTGCGCATGTCCGGTGACAATAAATTTTTTGAAAAGCAACGAAAAATAAAAACTAGAAATGTAAAAGTTTTTAAAAGCGGTAGACTTATTTAGCCATAGGGGATTGTTTTTTGCGGCGCTTCGCGTGATTACAGTCAAATGTGGCGGTAGATAAAGTAAAAAAAAAAAAAAAAAAAAAAAAAAAAAAAAAAGATGATAATATAAGCAACATGAAAGACCGAGTGAGTGAGCGAGATAAAATGTTGAAAACGAGTGACCGAGTGAAAAAATGTAAGAGAGGAAAGGCTTGAGAGGGTTTTTTGCCGTTTAAAACTTTGCGGAAACGTTTGACAATAGTTTTCTATCTGTTAATGATGAAAAAAAAAAATCTGGTATAAAGCCAGTGAATATTTCAAAAAAATTCTTCTCTAAAACGTCGCTCTACCTTTTGTTCTTGCTCTACTTCTAGCTCCATTTTTCCTCGGAAAAAATTAATACATAAAATTAGTGATTGCGAAGCTTAGAATCCACTTGAAATTTAAAAACGTATTTAGTATCAAAGGTCTTGTCTATTATATTGAGTCTTGTGATGTCTTAATGGTGTTCCTCCTCATTAATTTGTTCACGTGGTAGTCGTGAATTAATTTGTTGGAGGTGCTATAAAATCTCAAAAGAAATGAAAATCGAGCGATTACTTTGAAGTCACCCCTTAAGAACTCTTGATACTTATTAGACTCAGCAAACAACATTCTGTATTTAATATATATATATATATATATAATATAAAGAAGAAGAAGGAAAAGTTAATCAAAAGAGCGAAAAGTCTCTCAAGCTTTCCAATCTTATCTAGATTATATTTACAATAAATGCATTAATTTGCAAGTCCGTATTAATATTAAATAATTCATTTTTTAATTTCTGTACTAATTTTTATGTATACATTTGAATAATATGTATGTATGCATAACATGTTTAACTTCTTGTATTTATGAGAATGAGGGTTTTGAATAGAATTATGGATTTAAAAATAACTGAAAAAAAATGTACATAAATCAACGGATATTAAAAATATACATGAGTGTTTAAAAGAATAACGCCGATGAAGAAGTCAGTATCAATTTGTTTTAACCGCAGAGTCTGGGTTCGAATCCTGGCGCCAGTAAATTTTAAATTCCAATTCTCAAATGGATATTTATTGATAATATTATTATTATTGCTTTTAAAAAAATACAATTTGATATGATTTCTTTTACGGCAGTCTCGATTATTACATCTCCGCTTGCCCGATTTTATTTTTACAATCGTCAGCCGGTTATAAATCAGTAAATAAACAATGGGATGTTTTATTTAACGAAGTTTTTTAAAATAACAAAGAGGGAAATAATATTACTCAAACTGGTAAATATGTATAATAACTATAATATAAATATATATCTATATATATGTTGAAATAATAGAAGAGGAATAAGGCAGGCACACAGCTTCTTGAAGACGTAGTTGTATTGAGTGGATTCGCTTGCACCGTTACCGGGTGAGGGAAAATAAATGTCCTGGAAAAGATGCTCAAGTGTTTTGGGAAAAAGAGTATGGGTAGATGATAACAAAAGTTTTTTGCTAGAGTACAGTAGTAGCCGGATAGACTAACAGTAATATCGAGAGGAAATGGTGCTGTCTCAATTTACTTTTTTGTTATTTTCATTTTTTATTTTATTTATATAATACTTTCTTCTTATTCTTTATATACTTTTATTCTTTACTTATACTTGAGCTTTTCAATATTTTATTTTTTTTTTTATGTTATTAAATTATATTTTCTTTTTATTTTAACTAATGGCTGAGCTTTGTAGAAAATTATTAGTTTTATGGTTATTGTACTTAACTTTATGTTTTATTAACACTTGCGTTTTTTATTTTATCAATTAATTATAATTATATACTTTACAGTTGTATATTTGTTGTAGCTTTGATAAAAACGGATTTTTGGCATTAATATTTCTTTTTCTTAGGACACTTTTATTTGCTACATTAAGTATGAGAGCACGTTTGGTGGTTTTTTTTTTTTTTTTTTTTTTTTTTTTTTTTTATCACTTTTTATTCTTGTTTGCTTTTATAGTGTAAATATTTTAAAAGTACCAGTACGTTTAAATTCAATGAAAGAATAAAATAAAAATTTTCCGGTTGATTAAAAAAATAAAATCAGATTATTCATCAATAATTACCGATATCACCAAACGTCTTTCGATGTTGCTTATTGCACTAACAGACTGCGATTAATTAAAGCAAATTGTTAAAAGTTATTTTATACATTTATTTAATTTATACCTTTTATTTTTCAAGCACAAAATACGCCAGTACTTCACCAAGGACCTTTGATATCAAGCGCTGCTATCATCGGTATCGTTATTGCGATACTCATCCTCATGCTGGTTCTTCTTGATTTGATTTGCTGCTGTACACATCGAGCAGGTAATTTTATCAATAATTTTCAATAAATTGCTGTATTTTTTATTTGATTTGATACTTACTGTATACATTTTTTTTTAGGTATTATTTTCTATGTATGTGAAAGATCACGTAGAAAACCTATTGATGAAGAAGATGCCAAGCTTGGAAGGTAATAAAATAAATAATGATTTTTTTTTTTTAATTCAGAGTTAACAAATACTTTTTTATACACTGAGGAAAAAATACGTTAAGGAACTATGCATAAGTAATTTTTTTTTTATTAAATCATTTTTTAATCTTTCAAAAAATTATTATATTAATTTATAATTGAAATGGCGTAAAATTTCATCAGTATTATTTGAGAATAAATATTTTATTTATAAAATAAATTTTTTCAGTTGTAATAATGCTATATTTTATGACAATTCAAGGTTACCAATTTTACTTTGATTTTTTCGCGTGTTCTCACCTTGCAGATTTTTTATAAAGTTAAATATTCTGAATAATAATAATACTCAATATTTTATTCAGCAAAAAAAATTCTAAAAGATGTTTTAATCAATTCATATCTTAAGTATATTTTACAAGATTTCTTATCGTAATCAATAAATCACTTTATTTCATTTAAATAAAAAATAATACTGAGGCCTTAAATATTCTCTTAAAAATTATTATACTTCTGTGAAATTGCATTACTTAACTGGAAATATAAAAAATTAAAATAAGAAAATATTTCTACAACTATATTTGAGTGAAAATGTACTTCTGTATAGTTACCAAAAAATAAAAAAGTAAATATTGTCACGACTCTAAAAAAAAAAATGAGAAAATCAAGTAAAGTCTTTTTACCTTTACGATAATTTTTAATTAAAAAAAAAAAGAGTAGTTTTTTTAATTATTTAGTTAATTGAGTTTTGAGTTACAAAAATATTTTCTTAATTATAAAATAAAAAAATTTTTTTCTCAGTGTCAACACAAAATCAAATAACAAAAAAAATTATTGATAAAACAAAAAATAAAATAAAACACAAAAACACCTCGTGCTTTGGCAAGTCTGGCTCTAACATGTTTATAAAATAATGCCGAAAATAAAAAATTTATTTTAAGACTTAAAAAATCATTATCATCACCATATCACAATCACATTTATTTTGATTCTGATTATTGACTACTAATGATTAAAAAAAAAATCTATGCAATTACATAATAAATAAAAAGATATATTATTTTATTCTTGGGTATACTTTTTCTTTTTTCTCTCACCGATGTAGTCTTTACGGTTGGCGGTTTCCATTGCCATATTGTGACCAAAAAATGGCAAATGTCGCGGGAGTTACGGCCATCCAAGACTCGGGTAGTGGAAAGAATACCATTAAGTTGGTAAAACATAGCGCTATGTAAGGATACTAAAGATGATAGATTGAAATCTAATTAATAATTATAAAGTAAAAAAAAAAAAAAAAAAGTTAATAGGATTTTATTGGCATTCAATAAGAATGAGCATGTCGGCAGAAGATTAAATTATTATTTATACTTTACAGTGAATTTAATTTTATTTAATATTATTTAAATTGATATGGCTTTCCACTTGGCATGATTATTTTTTTTTACCTCAATATTTTTTTAATTTATTTATTGAACTTAATTTATTTTTTCATTCCAATAAAATTTCTGTTTATAAAGTAACTGTCAATTCAATTGTGTATCGGATATTACTTTATTTTATTCGAGTAGATTTTCTCAAGACACTGGTTGTTCAATTTACGAAGAAGAATGAAGAAGAATAAAATAATCAAAATTTATAATAAAATAGTAAGAAAATGATTGAAGAAATGAAATCAAGCATGGAAAGCCTCTTATTTCAACCAGAATCTTCGTCGCCTTCTGTGTGCCGCCAACCATTAACGTGCGATAAATTTATTCATTTTTTCATTTCACATGTTTTTTTTCATTTTTCTCATTTTCTCATTTGTCAGTAGATAATTCATTTTTCTTTTCTTCTTACCGCGTTCATACTCGTAATACATTTGTCACCATTCGCTTGAGCTTTGGCCATGCTGCATGAATACACTTTTTTTTTTAAATAAATTAATTAAAATCACTACAGTATACAAGTTTATTGATAAATTAATTAATTAAAAATATTTTAATTACAATAATTGTACTTTTTATGAGGGTTGTAAAAATTTCAGCCAATGTTTTTATTAAATTAATTGAACTTAAATTTTTATTAAATTTTAGTTAAGTATTAAATTACAATAATTAAATAATAAAATTAAAATTTTTTTCTTTCTAATTTTTTATCATTTATAATGAGATTAAAATTTAAGAATTTACTTGATTTTTTTAATTTAAAAAATATTTTATTTTTATTATTTTAAATTAATTATAAATTTTCTATCTATATAAAATTATTCTGATTCTTCTTGACTGAAAAATAATTTTTACAACCAAAATAACAGAAAGTTTTGTACAGTAAAAAATTGTAATTAAAATATCAAATAAAAAATACTAAAATAACAGAATTATTAAATAGAATAAATAATGCTTAATGCAACTTGTTAAAAATAACAATAATTAAAAAAAAAAGAATGCCAGCATGCGATATAATATCATTGTACTCGAATCACTTACTTAATAAAGCGTGAGCGTGCACGCAGTACACTAGGTTAACTAAAATATTAATCAAATGCTGATATGACCAATGTCCTAATTTATAAAATTTAATCCAATTTAAACATTTATTAATGTGTGCATTAATTTTACAGAGAAGAAAAAGAGCCATTGAAGGAGGAGAAGAAAATAACGCCAATAATTGACTCTGGGCTAAGACGAGAAACATCTATAACATTTGACGGCAAGCGATCAATCTCAAAGACTGGTTTCGTGGGCAAGGATTCGGCCGTCTAGATATTCGTCCGGCGTACTAGATTATAAATTTATTATTTTTGCGGGCACAATACAAGTAGTGACGCGTTAAAGTATATATAATAACTATTTATATTAATTCTACCAACTACTTAAACATAATATTGGTAATTCAAGATTAATTGCTACACCTGCCATAATTTTAATCCAAAATTCAAAGATTGAATTTAAATTATTTACTTTAAAGAGTAAATAATATTAATTGCAATTAAAATTATTTGGTACAAATTTGACAGCTGCCAAGCAAGCTGTCATTTGAAAATAAAAGAACAAAAACAAATAATAGAAGAAAGTATTAGAGAAATTTATTCCCCTTAGCAGTTAATACTCTTATCCAGAATGTAATCTGATCGCTGATCGCCGATCACTTAATAAAATCCGCCCTACGTACTTAAACATTATTATATCAATGTAAACTCAGTTTGTTATAAAACTACTTATTAAAGTGAGTAACCGATTAAATGCAAGAATAAACGTAATGTGTAGATTTACAAGCTAATAGTAGTTATTATAATGCTTTGAATTAAATTAGCTTCTTTTAATCCCGTTTATATTATGTAACTGACGCCGATCTAGTACGCTGGATATTATTTATATATTATTAAACACCACCTATCAATTTACAAATTGAATTTGAAAAAGTTTATGCGTTGGATGTAAATGGGGTGAAAGTTCGCCGTAAATTTATATTAAACGTAAAAGTTAAAAAAAAAAAGTTTTCAACTTAAAATCATGTGATGAATGAGATTATTCCTGGGTCGTAAATCGAGTTTTGCGTTATGGTGGATGGAGTACGTTAAATACGTACGTGTGTATATATACATACATTTATATATACCGTAAAAAATCCATTAACTGGATTGGATAACCAATTGTTCTAACTAGAAATACATAAATGATTTTTTTATTTTTTTATTACTCTTATTATTTATAATAATTAATTATTACTTAATGATCTAAAAAAAATTACGCTCCCTGTTTAAGTAAACGAAATTTTCTGTTATCAAGACTGATTCATTTAAGATTAACAGTTTGTTTAAAGAATTCAATTTTTAACAGTAATATTAACGTTAAATGCAAATTAACACAAATTTATATTTCATATTAAAAAACATAAATGACAATTACAATGTTGTTCAATGTAAATTTAAGCGTGTATATCAATTCTTGTACAAAATCGTGGACATTAATTTAAGTATGTTTTTAAGTTTACTGGAAAATAGCCATTTGTTAACTCGAACGTTTATAAAATTTGTAAAATTAGTCGCAAATAAAAAATGATATTAATTTAATTAGCGAAATGGAAATTTCACCAAGTATAAATTCAGTCATTTATATAAAATAAAATTGCGAAAAATAAAAATCTGTGGCTACGTGAATTTAGCCAATTCTTACTGCAGAAACTTATAACATTAGGCGATTGTAAACTTTGTGAATTGTAAAATTAGTCGTTTCTAAATCTCTGGTAATTCTTGAACGGATCGACGGATCAGAAAACGATTTGAGGCATCTAAAAGAACTTCCATAAATTTAGTTTTTTCTGAAAATTAGAGCAAAAGTTATAAGAAGTTTAAAAACGGCTAATTTTATAAGTTTCTGCAGTTAATATAAAAATTGGTTAAATCCACGTAGCCACAGATTTTTATTTTTCGCTATTTTATAAATAACTGAATTTATATTTAGTGAAATTTCCATTTCGCTAATTTCATTTTTTATTTGCAATTAATTTTACAAATGACATTATCAACTGATTTCCAAATTTAGAGTTAATAAACTTTCTAGTTTACAAACGGCTATTTTCCAGTAATATTAAAAACATACTTAAATTAATGATCAAGATTGTACATTACTAAAAGTATGAATATCGAAGATTTATATATTTAATAATGTAACACATAGTCTTATCTGTAAACCAGTTTACTTATGAAAGTATTATTAATTATTATAGTTTTATTTTGAGCTGGTATTCTCATGACATTTTTTTTTATTCACTTAGTGTTATTATGACTTCTTTTTTTTACTTAAATTTTTAAATGTCGAAGTATATTATTTTGTCTATTCAAGAAAAAATGTTTTTGTAAATTTTAATAAATTTTATAAAATACAAATTTCATGAAATATGATTACATTTGATAGAACCTTACAGAATTTTTTAAAATAAACAAGAAAAACATTTTTTCCTGGATAAAATCACTTAATTAGTTTAAATATAAAATAATTTATTGTAATTTAATATTAAGCTTACTTAAATAAAAAAAAATATATATATAGCGGCACTTGAGCTTTTAAATCGTTGATATTTTTTACATAAAATAATAAATTGCCAGTAAAAAATAAATTAATAATATTAAATTAAAAAGTGTGTAATAAGTGCCGTGGCTCTTAATATAAAAAAGAGTTATTTTTTTTGCAAATGAATAACGTTTGAAAAAAAAATGTGATAAGTTTTTTGTAAATGCTTGTAAACGTTCTCTCTAATTATTAAGGAATGTCTAAAAGGTTTTTTTTTTTTTAATGACTTTTATTTGTTAATTAATAGTGTCTAGTTAAATTTAAATATTAAAATAATGATAAGGATAAATATATATAAATAAATATTGAATAAAATGTGCACGTTGCTCGAAAAGTACGTTCATCTTCGGTTTGACTGGTTAGAGTCAATTAAATAAAGTAAACAGATTGGGATAAATTGCTTGTAGTAATTTGAAGTGGAAAAAAAAATTCAAAAAAATTGTGGAGAAGCGTGACTGAACTTAAAGTACTTGAAGTTATATTCTTCTTGGAAAAAATACTCAAATACTTTTCATGTTCACTTATTTCTTGGAAACAATTATACTTTAAATTTCTCAAGTTACTTTTATTTTTAGTGTCACGCACATGGCTCGTTAACAGTTAACAAAAATTTTTTATTTTTTCATTTATAACTTTTGGAGTTGAGTAATTACTTTTATTTTATTAAAAGCTGACAAGACTGCAAGATGAATTTTCTTTTCGTGCTGTAGCTTTTTTACTTAATGTCGGATAAATGAATGATAAATTTTTGCCAAATATATAGTACTTAATAGCTATAAGGTTAATAATATTAATAATAATAATTACAATATGAATAATGACTATTGAGTAACGATTACAAGCTATAATCGTTTTAATGAGACGCACGTGTTTATATCAAGAGAAAAATATCATGCAGAGGTTTAAAAAATTAATTTAAATAATAAATGATTAATAAAAATAGGAGTTGAAAAAATCTATGAAATTAATAAATTGAGGATAAAAGAAATTGATGGAAATAAATTTAAGATAATCCAGTTATTTTATATTTGTTGCCAAAATGTATAATTCACACAAAAATTCAATAATTTATTGATTTTCAATAGAAATGTACTATGATAGGATGAGAATAAAAGTATTAACTGGCATCTTCCATTTTAATACAAATACTTATTTAAAAATCGGTTAATTATTATTATTATTAATTATAAATTACATTATTATAATTATTAAAATTTTTTAGATGTAAGGCATATTTTTATGTATGCTTTTTCTGTATGCAACAAAACACAAAACTTGAATAAAAAAAATTATAATTCAATTAAAATATAATGTGTATGCATTAATTTTATACTTATAGACTTTATTTCACACTATGATTATTAAATTTTTTTTTTCTATTTAATTACATCTAAATAGAAGAAAAAACTCAAATAATTGAAAGGATAAAGCATATGCTTTTGTTTTCTTCTTTTTGATATCAACTAGAATCACGACCTACCTTATGAAAACCTTGTAGGGAATGCAAAAACGATTAAATTGGTATATAATAATAATAATCATTAGAAATAAATTTATCAAGAATTTTTAAGCTTATTATCCCTTACACGAAGAGAATTTTATATGAGCGTCAACAATTCATGTTTTGTAAATTTTACCGACTCAGATAGTAATTAAATTTTTAAAAGTCAAGATAATCCTATAATCCTACCCCACTAAATCGGTACCAATCATTGGACAGCAACTCCTGCACTCCCACTTTGGTTATTGGGGTATATTTATATGGTAATGTAAAATTGATGGCTAAAGTGAAATTAATTTAGTATCGAAATTCTCGATACCAATCGAAAAAATGAACCCTGATTCTTTATTCGTTTAGGATTAGAATGCGCGCGTATAGCACGTAATTTTAATTTCTGGTCTAAGTATAATAATTCCGATAGAGTTGAAAAAAAAAAATGTATAAGATATTCATTATGATGAAACCTTAATTTTATAATTACGTTGAGAAACAAAATACAAAACAAATACAAAATTATTTGTTTATTGGATCGTATGGGTCTTCATGATCGATTGGGTGACGACTTTTTCCCTTCTTGATAATTTTTTTTTGTATCAATCAGTAAAAATCCAGTAAAAAATACAACAAAAAGACACTATGACAATTACTTTCAATAAAAAATGCCCACATTTTGGTCTTTTTTGGCTTACATACATTAATTAAATTATAATATTGATTAAATATTTTATTTTTACTCGCCTACGTTTAAAAGTCAAAAAAATTAAAAATTAAGTGTCATTTTTTATAACTAATATAAAACAGAATTCAAATAATAATGAAATTAAAAATAGCAGACATCTGACAAGCTTATCAGGTCACAAAGTTACTTTTAGAAACAACAAAAATGATTGAATATCTGCTTTTAAATGTATATTAACAAAAATCATTAATGAGCAAAATATTAACTTTATTGTTCAAAAATTTACCCTAGACAATTATTAATTCAAGCATACTGATGGTTGATGGTCAGTATAATTAGTTGTCTAATAATATGTTTTAATTAGTTTTGAAGATCTAAAATCACTTTTGAGTTTCATCTTTTGGCAATTCTCTTATGTTATAATTCACTTTTATTAGTGATACCAATTGCACCGAGTTTGCATTTTTTTACTATGTGTTATCAAAGCAATGTATTGAATAAATTAAATTTATGATGAAAAAACATAAAATACCTTGTTTCCAATTAAATTTATTCGTACAATAGATTACTCAATTTTTTAAAAAGAAAAGTCTTTAGAAATGGTTAAAAACGATTTAGTTATCTAACAATTCTTATTATTTATTTTTAAAATTAGTATGTAAATCAGTGATATTATCTTAATAATGTTTAGAACTACCACTACCAAAAAATTCCTTAAAAATATTAATACAAATAGAAAGGCATCTGATTTGAGTATCACGTCACTATATTACAAATTTAAATCAACTGGCTCTTAATATTATTACAGAATTCTAAAGTACAACTTTGGAGAAAACTTATACAAAACACTGAACACAAATTATCATTTAGCATTGATCGATAAATAAATGAACATATATAATAGATTATCTACTATCACAAATTGAGAAGAGTATAATTATATTTCAATATTGTCATTAGATTTTTTGCCCATTTTAATTAAACGTTGTTCATCGCGTAGTGGTGGAGATTCAGTTCTTGTGTGCCAAACATAAACCTGTCAAGTAGAAAGAATTTAATATTTAGTTTAACATTACAAGGAAGAAATTGGTTGAATCTACTTCGAAGAAATTAGACATCTTTTTACACTTTTAAAAATTAATAAATATGGTGCATGCCTGCACAGAATTTGTTTCTATTTTGAAAACTATTAAGAAAAAAAAAAAGAATAAATAGAGTATTAACATTGATACATTAATAAAAAAAAAAACTCCGCCGAGTGAATTCTTTATTTCTTTTATTACATAAAAATGAAAAAAATATTTATCCGTTTAAAAATTACAAAAAAGCGTATTTAGAGATTTTTTAAATTAATGTAATTTTTTCCTTAGTTTGAGATAACAAATAAATTTTAATATTTAGCAAAAGTTGCACCAATATTTTTGTTTTAATTTCTACAAGCAGCATTTTTTTATAAATGCTTTTTATAATAATTTATTCATTATTAGATCCTAAAAATTGCCACATGTCAATTAATTTTAGTGACATTAAAGTAATTAATTTTATTTAATTAAACGTAATAATATTAATAGCGCTTACGATTTGAAGTTAGGGTTGTGTAGAAATAAGCTATGTAAAGATTTAAAATCTGAGAAATATTCTTGTGCATAGATATTATATTCGGTTTATTATTTTTATGGGTGTAGTGATGTCGCGGTATAGAATTAATCGGCTGCCCAATTTTAATACACAGCAACTGTAAAATTTTTATACTTAATTTTTTTTATAACTTTTAGACCTTAATTTCAAGTAATTTTTTTTTTTTTTTTTTCAATATTTATATTCAAGTATTTTGTATTCATAAATCAAATTTTTCATCAATTTGGCAGGCAAAATTTTTTTTGATAAGAATAATTGAAAAAAATTTTTAAATGTTAGTTACTGTGTTTTGAAATTGGGCAGCCGTAATCTTGTATAGAGATTTTTCTATTTGAAAAGAAACGTATTAGCTTGATTCGTATAGAGATAAATTTTGTGAGTTTTCAAAATGGAAACAAATTTTATCTAGGCACCACACCCAAATTAATCCATCAAAATTATGAAGAAATTTATAAGGTAAAAAGAGTTTTGCTTCTTCACATTTGCAAAAAAAAATTAGTGAAATAAAAATTTAGAATACTTTTGTACAGCAATCAGCCAATGGTTCCAGTTGATCCCGTGTGACCAGCTGCTCAAGAAATTCTGATTCTTGATAACCAGGCTTGGCTCGAAAAGAAAATGCTGTATCTTTTTTTTCCAGTAATATCTTGAGATTTATCGCAAATCCAGCCATGTCTAATGGAAACGACCGTTCAGGTTTCCAAACTGAATTGAACCCAATAACTTTGTTTGTTGTATTATCACAAATCGGCCGTTCAACCATTAATCCGCCGACTAAACCTACAGGCCAAACTCCAACCACTTTTATCTTCTCCATCTGAAATTTTAAAATTTTGTATCAGTGATAAATTAAAAAGTAAAATTATCTACAATAACAATAAGTCGAATTCATTTAAAAATTGATTAATTTTTCGTTAAAAAAATTATCTAAATATTTAATTTGTTTTTATAATATTCTTTTCATAAAGAATGTAAAAGTGCATCTTGTCAACTGTAATCAGACAATCTTGAGTAGTTAATTTTCATTCCAGTAAAAAAAATATAATCAAGTGAGAGTATATGGAGATTATTATCTTTTTAAAGTTTTCTATGCATGAGTCACCTTGTAAGTTTTAAATATGATTAAATATAATTTTTTGAATATTTCAAATATTATGTATTATGATAAACGAAAATATTTCCTGTTGTGATATAAAATCTAAAATTAAAAGTATTAATAAAAAATGTTTACTTTTTGATAGATTTCACTCAACAAGAAATTAAAAAATTAATAATCATCAACTTAAATTCAACAAAACATTAATAAAAAAAAATTTGTACCGCTTGAGCTATTTTATTTTTTTAATTAGTACTATCTCCCATGTATATTCATAAAAAAAATGCAACATAACAAAAATTTTTACAGCCTTTTAGTTGGAAAAATGGAATCATCTGAAATTTAAATCAATTTTTATTATCAATCCGCTAAAGAGTAGAAAAGATAAAATAAAGAATTTGTGAGAACCTATTCTGCTAAAATTCTCTGTAAAATAATTTTTACCACAATTGTATTCAATAAATTTATATTAAAGACTTAAAAGTAGATCAAATGTTCATTACAAACAATCTTTATGACTGATTAAATATTTACCTCTTTAAACAATTTTATAGAGTAGGTATTATCGTCATCCGCAAAGTAAACAACACCATTTGTACTAGTATTGTAATTATTTCTCAACCAATTCAGAGCAGCATTTCTTTGTGCAACACCACGCGGTTTTTTCCAATGAGGATCATTTATTCCCAATTTATAATTGGAAGGTGTGATTACATTCAAATGCTGATAATTCAATCCGCTTTCCCAGAGGAAATTAGTCACCAAATTGGTCCTCGTTGCTGAATCTTCAACCACAATCCAGTGAAAATTAGGCACTTGAAGAAATGCTTGTGCAAGTCTTGTGAGTTCAGCTTTTTGCACCGGTCTAGCAAATGTAGGTGTAATGGCGAATATTGTTGGTAAATTCTTGTTAACTGTCTTTTTTTTACTATTAACATCATTTACCAATTTATCATTAAATTGATATATTTGTTCTATTAGTTCATTTTGTTCTTTCACTGTTTTAGCTAAATTATTCAATGTTCTTTCGGTGCTATCCCATTTACTTTGTTCTAAATACACTGAAAATATATAAAAGTAAATATTAGTTTTGTTTAAACAAAAAGTGAAATAAAATAAAATTAGCGTGATATTATATCAAGAATGTTAAATTATTATCATTATTCTAATTAAAAATGAGTTTTTTTTTTGTAAGACAAGGTGACTGAAAATTTTTTTATTTTTCTAACAAATAAGAAAAAAAAATTTACTGGAATTGTCCTTAGAAGTTTTTCAATTTTTTACAAAGAGTTTTTTTCTATTAAATTATTTCTATTAGAAAAAATAGCAAAAAGAAATTTGTCAATTATGTTATTCTTAGTGTCATTATTAGAGTTGGCAAGTACCTAAAATTTTTTCAACTTCGAAAAATATTAGGTTGTAATTATCCTAAATCCTAAAAAAATAAAAAATTCTAAACGTTAAAAAAATATAATAAATCTATTCAATTTATAATGCCGCCTATTTTATCTTATTTTCTAACATGAAATTTAAAAATTTATTTGTTTGGTATTTAATTACACAGAGATAAACTTACCTACTAAAAATGAAAATCCTATTATATAAATTATAAAAAATATAAAAAAATTACGAAACGACGGACGGAACATATTCGTCATATTATTATTTGATGCCATTGGTAAAATAAAATAATCTTTTTCTGTCATCGTTATATCACTATTTCCATTTTATTGTTTGGAAAAAAGATCTACTTTGTTTTCACACTTTGACAACACTGAGAATAATTATAGTAATAACCACAACCACTCTATTATTTTTATTTGTCCCGATTGACGCGCCATCTCGTAGCTAAAAGAACCGCGAAAATTTAATTTCAATTTCAGTCGCTACTACTTAGAAATTATTAAGTATTTTTTAAATTATACAATAGAAAATATTTATTTTAATGAAAATTAAGTTAGCCGATATTAAGTTAGACTAATCTAAAAATTTTTGATTTTTTTTTTAAATTAAATTGTAACTAAAAAAAGATTTATAAAAAATTGCACTTGTAGTTTTTCAAGTTTTTTACATGTGAAATTTTTTTTTAATTGTTTAATTGGAATTTTTTCAATAAAAAAATTTCTAAAAATTTTTTAATTTCGGCTAACTTAATTTTCATTTATTTTAAGCTTTTTACTAAGTATGATTAATTATTTCATAACAATTTTGAAGATAAATAATTTATTTTTATTATTCTCTTCAAATTATATTTAATAATAATTGTAAATAATATTTTAAAAAAAAAAATTAAAAAGTCTGTGATTTTTTTTCAAATTCCATAAAATTACTGAAGAATAAAAGTAAACAAAATAATAATAATAGTTCAAAAAATTTATTCCTTTCACTTAATCTAGGAATTACAAGGACATGTGAACTACTGAGTCGGTGTTCAGCTTATAAAATAAAGTCGGTAAATAAAATTGGATTAGTACATACTAAATAAATAAAAATAATAAAATAATAATAATAATTGTATTGTATTGAACTTTGTAACATATGATTTAATAATAAACTTAAAGTTTCTTAGCCTCGACTCGTGGCACGTGAAATGATAGTAGATCATCAACGTCACCGTCGTGAAGATACATTCAGTAGCTTATCGTCACTCTGAAATAACACTTAGTCCAAAGTATAAATCAACTTGTCATTTAGTGTTTAACCTCATGTTTAATATTATTATTGATACCTATAATTTACCAAAATTTTCCATGACGTTTATGTAAACAGTGCGTCAGATTATTATATTTTTTTCTACATACATTTATGAGGTGGATTATTTTGAAATTAAATTTAACAAAAAATTAATCATTTACCGTAAAATGAATAATCGTAAACCGAGACGTGATTCAGATGTTATTCTTTCAAATTATAATCAGAAGGAGCTACTGTTTAAATTTCTTATCATCGGTGATTATGGAGTAGGTGAGTTAAGTTAGCTTTTTACTAATAAATATTTTAACAGCATTGAAATCTCATGATTATAACATTGCGCATGCGATGTGTGTTTTTTTAACACTAAATTCTGCCAATTGCGGAACTTTATTATTATTATTATTATTGTTTGAACGATTAGAAAATAATTATGATACCGAAATTAACAGATCTGTTAATTTTTTAGATTTTTATAACAATATTATATGAAAATTAAGTTAGCCGATATTTAAAAATTTTTAAGATTTTTTTTTCATTAAAAAAATGATTCAATAAAATAAAAAAAAATTTTCATTTGTAAAAAACTTTATGAAAATCAATTTAGCAGATATTTGACATTTTTTAAAATTTTTTTAACAAATAAATTATGGCAAGAAAAAAGTAGAAAAAAAATTGACATGTAGAAATTTAAAAAAGTAAAAAATGCAATTTTTTAAAAATCATTTTTTGGATAAAATCTATTTGTTAGAAAAAATTTAAAAATGGTTAAGTGACTGCTATCTTTAATGTCATAAAACTTTAAAAACTGTAAGTGCAATTTTTAAAAAATATTTTTTTGTTCTAATTTAATTATTAAAAAAAAATCAAAAAATTAAAAACGTCGGCTAACTTAAGTATCATCAATATTATTGGGAAAAAATTTTATTCAAACAATTCTATATTTAGAAATTAAAGAAAAAAAATTACATGTGAAAATATTTTAAAAATTCTTTTTTTCTATAATTTATTTTTAAATTAAAAAAATTGTTAGATGTCTGCTGATTTTAGTATCATAAATAATTTTATAACTTGTAATTTTCAGGTAAAACCGCAATCGTGAGGCGATACACAGAAGGTAAAATATTTTTAATTATTTACTTTCATTTATTCCATCCGACTTGCTGATAGTTTCGTACTTAAAAATAAAAAATTAATAATCTTAAAAATGTAAATAAGCTTTACATAATTACAATTACATGTGTCAAGTTTCAGACTATTATCGGCAAAGCTTTGCAGACCACTTGCTAATTAACATTTAATTATTATTATTGTACATACATTTATAATGATTTTTTACTTTATATTTGCTTGTTTTTCATTTTTATTTTTATTTTTTCTTTTAGGCAAATTTTCATCGAATTATAAAATAACAATAGGCGCTGATTTTGCAATTAAATCACTTGATTGGGACCCTCATACTAAAATTAATTTGCAGCTATGGTACTTTTTTTTTATACATATTTTGTTTACTAACATAAAAAACTCTTAGTTATTAATAAAAAAAACGTTTTGAAATTGAATATTAATTAACAGTAGCTATCGATAATATATTTCAAAAACTTTCTTTACTTTACTCACTATCTTTAACTTTCACTTATGCACTTAAGTACTGTAAATCATTCACAGCTATTAATTTATTTTAGGGATATTGCTGGTCACGAAAGATTTGGATACATGACACGAGTTTACTATAAATATGCGTAAATATCTGCTTGTTTATCTCATAATTTAGAGATTATGCACAATCAGAATTTTCAATGCAAAAAATTCGTTTTTTTAAATTTAATACTTTACAAAGCCGTCAAATTAATATTATGGATAGTTTTGAAACCTGAAATTTTTATGAAAATTAATTTAGCAGATATTTAATAATTTTTAGAACTTTTGTTAACAAATAATTTATGTCAAAAAAAAATAAGAAAAAAAATTGACAAGTAGAAATTTAAAAAAATTAAAAATGCAATTTTTTAAAAATAATTTTTTAGAATTAATTTAATTGTTAAATAAAATTAAAAATTTGTCAAGTGACAGCTAACTTTAATGTCATATTTTTATGAAAATTAATTTAGCAGATATTTAATAATTTTTAAAACTTTTGTTAACAAATAATTGATGTCAAAAATAAATAAAAAAAAAATTGACAAGTAAAAATTTAAAAAAATTAAAAATGCAATTTTTTAAAAATAATTTTTTAGAATTAATTTAATTGTTAAATAAAATTAAAAATTTGTCAAGTGACAGCTAACTTTAATGTCATGAAATTTTTGATACATGTGCACAAAGTAGAAGATATTGGGATTATTTTATAAAAGATTGTACGTAATCTCTTTGTTTCAAGATAAAATTTGAATAACTTGAATTTTAACTTATAATAATCTAAATAAAAATACTTTTAAATATTTCTCAGAGTCGCAGCTGCTCTAGTTTTCGATATTTCACGAGTAGCGACATTTCAATCGGTTAAAAAGTGGCTAACCGATCTTCGAGAAAAGGTTACCTTACCGGATGGCTCCAGTATTCCGATTGTTTTATTAGCTAATAAATGCGACATCCAACATGTCGCTATTCCTACGGATCAAATTATTAAGTTTTGCAAAGAAAATAAAATTTCTAAATGGTACGTCACTTCTGCTAAGGATAACAAAAACATCGGTAAATACCTCTCTTTATTTTTTTTATATTTATGATAAGGTAAAAGACCCCATTAGTGGCACTTTTTCTTTCAATGAAAAAATAATCTACTTGGAATAAAAATGAAAAATTTTCTTGATCTAAAGGTCTTAAAGATTAGAAATAATATATTCATTATTGAAATTAATGATTTCATTAATTGACTAAGTACCAAAATCAAAGAAAGTGTCAGTAATGGGTCTCCGCCACTAATGGGGTCTTTTACCCTATTAAATTTTATTTATAAATGAGAATTTCGTTTAACCCTGATCAAATATAAGTTTGAGATCAAGATTATACATTAATAATGATTTAGTTACATAATTGTTTTCCAAAAAGTTTATATTGGTAATTGATATTTTTTAAAGTGAGTTTTAATCACCAAAGTTTCTTGGGTTAGTTCATTCCATTGATTCTCGAATAATTAACTTTGATTTCTGCTCGTAAACTTATTGATATGTTTTCATGGTACATTAAAGGAACAAACTTGATTCCCTGATTCCCTTTGCTCCTCCGATAAAATAGTAATTTCATCGATTAAAATAAGTGAAAATACTATGACACTGAAGTTGACCGGTATTCGAATTTTATTCAATGAAATTACTACACAGTAAAAAATTTTGCGTCATTGTGCGTCAAAAAATTTTGTGTTAAAAATTTTTTTGTTAAATATTTAACACATTTTTGTGTTGATTTAACCTAATAAGTGTTAAATATTTAACACCAAATTTTTTGACACAATGACGCAAAATTTTTTACTGTGTATGAAAAAAAAATTAATAAAAAAATTCCACATGTGAAAAATAAAAGAAATTATTAGTAAAAATTTTTAGAAGCATTTTTTTTAATTGTAATTGATTTGTTATAAAAATTAAAAAAATTGACAGTTGTCAGCTAACTTTACTATCATAAAATACTTTTAATTTATAGAAAACATAAAAATTATTTGCTTAATTTCATTCAATATCAAAATTGATCTGTGAAAAGCTGGTGATAGAGAATTTTCATTTTTTTTAAACACGTTTTTTGTAATGTAATTAAAAAAGTTTATAATAAAATAATGGTAATTAATAATTTGTTTAAACTATTTTTTTTTTTTTTTTTTTTTTTTCAGATGAAGCAGTACATTACTTAGTAGAGAATGTGTTGAAAGCCAAGATAGAAGACGAAATAAAGGACTCGATAAAGTTACGCACTGCTCCAATCACTACCGAGAAAAGTGGATGTTGCAAGCTTTGAATTAGTTACCAAAAAATTATTTCAAAACAAATATAGCAACAATTTTCAGTTGCCTAAGAATTTTTTGTACAAAAGTAATTTTAATTTCACTGCTTGTGAATTAATTAAGTTAAAATATTTTTCCACTTTTTATTCGATAAAGTATTTACAAATATTTATAGTTTATAATTATTACAATTGTTATACGCTCATGCGTAATTATCACAGCGATAAATGCTGAAAAATGAAACGAATAATTGCTCAGAACTACAAATAAGAATAATTATTAAAATGTAGATATATTTATAAAGTTTTATTCGGTCAGTCAGTATGTACATACACTTTATAATTACCCGTTAAATATTTTTTTTGTAAATACATAATAAATATACATTATTGTTATTATTATCATTATCATCATTATTATTACCATTACCATCAATATGTTGTGATATTTTCATTATTAAATAAAGGTGTTGATTTATATTTACATCATTTCTTTGGCTTTATTTATTTGATTTTAATAAATAAATAAAATTTGTTTTTATACAATTTTTTGTTTTTCATTGACTTAAAAAATAATTTTTTCAATATTTATAATTTATGATTAATACAAAATTTTAATATCTACTAATAATAATTATTGCTAAAAATAAATAATTTATTAATACTTAATACTAATGGCTGAGTAAAAATGTAAATGATGATTATTTATCAGTTCAATATCAATTAAAAAATATGGAATTATTTTTTGAATTTTAATATCAGAGATAATCATCTGGAAGTTCGGATTTTCTTACAACAGGATTCATCGCCATAGATACCGTTGACACCATAGTCTTGCTATAATCCTTGGAATAGTCTAAAAATAAAATAAAAATTATTAAGTTAATTAAATCCTAAAATAAAAAATTAGTAATGTAATGTAATGATTGAAGGATAAAATTTAATCCTAATGAAGAATTAGTGAAAAATGACAAATTTATTATTAAGGGCTCATTAATGTTGTTATTTTAATTCATTAAAAATAATCAATATTAAAACATGTTAATAATTTAAAAAATAATAAGCTCATAGCTGTCAGCAATGCGTTAATTGTTAGAACATAAATACATTAATAAGATCTTAGCGGCGTTAAAAATAATAGTTATAACTGCTATTATTATTATATTTAAAAAAAGTATCAGCGTTATATTTTGGCTCGTAAATTATGTGTCAATTAGTACCTAACTCATTCTCCATTTAAAAACATGCTACAGTAGATCCGCGTTAGAAGTAAAGAGTAACTGAGCTATTTATCTAGCTCGCATCTGGCAGTCCTGAAAAACAGGTCGTGAGAATGAACGATATAAATCTTAGCATCATTTCCGGCTATTTTTATCGTATATTATTTCAACATAAACTCCGAGATATTTACTTGTTTATTTCATTTTTTTATAAATGTTTGGTTATTTGATTGGAGTAATTTTTTTTTAATTTTAAATAAAAAAAATGGAATTTAATTGGTAACTTCCCGCTGAGAAATTTATTGATTTCAGTTCGATTTTAGAAAATTGATCTTTTTAATCATTGAAAATATTTGACAATCATTGAATCTAAAAGAATAATAATGTCCCTGTTTAAAAATATTCATTGAAAAAAATTTGTTCTATGCAAATTATATTTTGACACTGAAAAAAAAATTAAATTGATTCAAGAGAAAAATTCTTGAACCAAGAAAATCATTTTGAAGAGAGTAATTTTTTTGAATCAAGACGAAAAATTCTTGAATCAAGTAAAATTTCCTTAAATCAAGAAAAATTTATTAGTTCAAGAATTTTTCTACTCAAATCCAGAAGATTAAGTCCTTCAAAATTATATAATTGATTCAAGAACACTTTTTTTTCTGTGAATACATAAGGTAAAGTACCCAGTACTTGAACACTTCTAAAAAAGTGGACCAGTAGTTGAACAGACTTTTAGAATTGTTGTAATACAAAATCTGTATATATATTATGTTATGAGTAATATGCGCATGTTATAATTATTCGATGATACAGTAATTGATTTTGGTAAGTTTTTTCAATTATAAATCAAAACAATTACATTTTTGTTAACTTTAAAGTTGATATGTCGAAAATCGCCGATAGATGCTATTTTTTTCATGAAAAAGGTACTAAACCGTAAACCGAACAATCAATAAAAAAAACGGTATATCATCATTTTAAGTGAAAAAAATTGTACCACTCAATGAAATAGTCTTTTCTAAATAATACATATTTTTTGCAAAGACATAAACTATAATTTTTATATTAAATTTTAGCGTTCAACTATACCTCCCAATTTTCAAAGCGGTACCCAGAACTTGAACAAGCTGGGACCATATAATTTTAACAGCACACTAACCTTTAATAGGTTTAGAGACTAGTGATCAGTATTGTGATTTGTATTAATTACTGCAAATTGAATAAGTTTTATAACTAAAAATTAGTATAGTTAAAAATTATTGAACGTTTTGAATTGAGTTTTTTTGATTTATAATTGAAAATTTACTTTGTCATTCATAAAAAATGTAATTAAAAAATCAAATACAAATGTTTCTTATTTTTAAATGAACATATTAAATATCCACAGTATAATTTTTAATATTATTCAATAATATGCTATAAATCTTTGAATATTTCAATAAAACGTTAAAAATTTTTGGTGTGCCTATTGCCATATATTTTATTAGTTCAACTACTGCTCCCGGAGTGTTCAACTACTGCGGCTTGTCAGAACTGATTGTTCAACTACTACTCCTTTCATAGTCTATCTTAAAAACGTCAAATTATAAATATTCAATTATTTGCGTTATTTTGCACTTCAATCAATTCAAAATTGTTTATATTTTTATGAAAATCACAAATTTGAACTAATAATTACATCTTTATATATTAAAAGTAGGGTCAAATACGTTTTACTTTGAAACCTGTTCAACTACTGGGTACTTTACCTTACTGAGAAATTGAAATTATTGAAAAAAATTCAAATCTCATGATTAAAAATCAAGAAAAAAAAAAATCGGTTTATTCGTTTGAGAAATATCGTAGAAGGAAAATTTTTTGAAATTTTTCAGTATCGATTTTAATAAAATATTATCGAATAACAAAAAAATATTAAGATTAAATATAACTTAGTATTTTTAAGCTTTAAGAGCCTGAAAATAGTGGGAAGTTTAAGATTGCTCATTGAATCGTCGACGGATAGCATTGTAATTAGAACCATGCCAGGCCCAATCATATAAACCAACATTTTAGCCCATCACTTACGACACAAATGAGCCGTGCTTTCGATCAGAGCTTGGTGACCGTTACGATGTGGTTACCTTGGCCATAATTATTTTGTCCTGGATTGCTGCTCCCGTGGGGTGTCAAACTCGCGCGGATCTTAGAGCAGCTTATCACACCAGCGTACGCCTGTCGGTATTGTTTGTTCATTATCACGTAGATGATTGGATTAACACATGATGCAAAGTATAACAATAAGTATCCCATAACGTGGAATCCTGTAAATGAATCAATTTTTACAATTTTTTTCTTTTTTTCAATAAACTAGCAAATTAGTAAAATACTATTGGTATTTTTTTGTGTATTATTATTTAACTGAAATTTTTGTTACCTGGATATCTAACTTCTGGGTCGGCGACTTTAACGATGGTGATTGGTAAATAGCAAGCAACGAAGCTCAAGAAAATAGCTAATACCATTTTGGTTATCCTCCATTCGCTTCGTTTTTGCTTTATCTCCCTTGTGTCCCGTCCCGGGGTATGAGGAGACTTTATCGTTGGACTCGCGTGCTTACGCATTCTTGATTCTGAACTAAAATGTTATGTGGTTTATTTTTTATATTTTATCAAAAAAAAAAAAAAAATAAACTTTCATTAATAAAAGTTCACGTGATTGTTGGGGTCAATAATTTTTTAATAATAATTTTATTATAATTATATCGTACGATTATATTTATTTTAAATAATCTATATAGTTAAGAGAATATGAAAAAAAAAATGTTGTCTTCGGCGTATTTGTATGATAAAATAGGTTTTCAAAAATTAAATTTAGTATAATTGAACCTGAATTTGTGCTCTGATAAAAAAGTTAACTTTATTCCAGAGAAGAAATTTTGAACCAAGATTACTATTTTGAAGAATATCATTTTTTTGACCCAAGAATTTTTTCCCATCAAAAAAATTGGGTAATTATTTACAAGTGAGGTCAACTCATGCTAGACCATGTTAAATTTTTTTTTTTATCGACTTGATCAATTTTTTTTTTAATTGTTCATTTTTTTATGTACTTTTTAGAAAAAAATATATCAAAAAACGATAAAATAGAAATTCAACGGTCTAATTAGCAATTTGTCTAACTTTTTATTTTTTAGAGGGTGATTTTTTAACACTTTGATGTAGCAATAATCCAATTATAAATTATTTGAATGATTCAAACCTAAATATTATATGTCTATCAGATATTAATGATATTAAATGGTTTTTTAGAGTGATAATAAATTCTGAACTAATTGTTTTTTTCGTACAAATAGAAGATTCTCTAAAATGGAGTTAGACAATTTGCTAATTAGAACGTCGAATTTGTATCCAAAAACATGAAAGCCAAAATTTTTTCCAATTTTTAAAGGCAAAAAAGCTATCGAAATCTTTATTTTTTCGTCTCACAATATTTTTTATCATAAATTGGCTCCATTACATCTATACTCATATACATGCGTAATAATAATTGTTGATAAAGGAATTAAAATAAATAAATTGTTTTTTACTCTCCTCTAGCTTCTGGTCAAAAAAGTTGTAAATGTTGTTAAATTGATTGATATAAGGAAATTAAGATAATTAGTACCTAAGAATTAAAGCGTTGGTTTATATTGAGTCATTAAGTATATTATTTAATATTGTTAATACTCTTCAACTCTGTATCAATTAAGTAACCCTGTTATTGGCCCTATGGGCTGTTGGGTTTTAATAAAAGAAATAAATAAATAAATGCACCGTAAAAACAAGCAGAATCAAAAAAAAATTTGAAAATGTTAATTTTTCACCTAGCTATGACCCAAAATGCGGTTGACCCCACTTGTAAATAATTACCAAAAATTGATTCAAAAAAATCAATTCCTTCAAAAATGGTATTTTTAATTCAAGATTTTTTTTCGTGAATCAACTTAACTTTTTTATCAGTTTGCTTTTTCAAGGCTTCGATGCCTTAATTTCAGATAAATTTTCGAACTAGTTATAAATATAGTTTCGAATTTCGCAATAGATAAAATTTGTTTATTTATTTTTGTTTTGTACGTATCAATGTGATAATATTAATCCATATAATTTAGAGAAGGAAGAAATTTTTTTATTGGTTCTATAAGTTTGTTCCGTCACATTTTCCATTAAATTATTGATAATTGGTCGTGTGATGGCGAAATTATTTTGTAAATTTATTTCCACAGAACCCTAACTGTGTATATTGTGATTAAAAATATAAAAAAATAATTAAGCCAAAATTCTTTTATCCATAATTTGTAATTTTTGGCTGTCATATAGCGACTGAAAGTTGTTTGTTAATATAAAATGTTATTATTGTTTGTTTATTAAATAAAAATTACCTGTGAACAACCCAAAATATTTTTGCATAACAGCCAACAATGACAATGCATGGTATGACAAACCCGGTAACAAAGAGGAACGTCTTTGAGCTTCGACCCCTTGAATCCCTAACTATTGAACAGGTTTCCAAATTTGAATCGTAATCAAACTCTCCTATTTGGACATTGAAATAAAATATTAATTATGAGAACATTATAAATATAAGCTGATTAATTTATAATTTTGAAAAAATAAAAATACATTACCCCAAGCTCCAACTAGAGTGGGGACTTGCATTCCATAAGAAAATAAGTAGCAAAAGGCAATCATAACAGCGATCCAATGTTTTTTATACACTTTGCCATAAAGGCTGTTTTGTGATATCATTATAAATCGATTAACAGTTATTGCACCGACACAAAGAAGGCTGACGCCGACGTTTCCGTATCTCAAAAAAGGCACCAGTACACACAAAAATCTTACATCAGTCCAACCGCTGTTGACAAATCGGATTGAGTCGAAGGGTAGTACTAGGACGCAGAATATAAAATCAGCCACACAGAGACTGAAAAAAAAAATAAAAAAAACGGTACCATTTATATAAATTGAGTTCTTCAAGGGGTTTCAATCAATAAAGACAGGAAAAAAATCTTTTATTTAACATAAAATATTAGTTGTCTACAAAAAATTTCAAATCTTCAAGTTTGTTATTTTCTCACGGAATTTAAATACACGAATAGTTTTTTTTTTATAAGTCTAATTGAATTAACTGGTTATTTTTATGAAGTAACTACTTTAATATTAAGCTTTGAATGGCGATGAATCTTTTTAAATTTTATTGACAAACAGAAGACAAGTAATAAGTCAAACATAGCGACTCATTCAGTATTTTTTGTGTTGATTCAATCAATAGTTTGATTTATCTTTTTACATTATTAATCAATTACAAACCTGATGATAAATGCTGCAGTGACATTACGTACTTTTGGATATTTACAGAGAGCGACAATAGTTAACAGATTACCGATTAAACCTGTTATCATTATTAAAATAGCTGCCACCGCTGCAAAAGTTCTCAGCGGCTTTGGAAATCTGAAACAGGGAAATTTTTGTAAGCAAAAAATTTTTATTTTAAATAAATTTAATAATTCATTTATGTTATAAAAATAACAATATCAAAAGTTTTTGAAATCAAGTTATGCAATAACAACTTTTGAATTACTTGTTACTTGCGACGGAAACATCATGAAGTAATTTAGGATGAAACTTGAGTCATTTCTGGTATTAAGGTGTTCTTGCTAAATTTACATCGAAACTTGTGATAATAAAATCTAACGAATATTATCTCTTGACTTTGATAAAATATTATTATTTAAAAGTTTTCTTAAATTATTTAAAAAAATTTTAAATTTTAAAAATAATTATTAAAAATTTTAAAAATAATTATTAAAAATTTTTAAAATAATTATTCAAACTAATGTTTTATCAACAAACCTTGAAATTTCTCCATCAATTATTGAATGATTAGTTGCATTAATTTGTGGAAATCTAGCTGCAGCAAATTCCATGCTCAACAACGACTCGGTTCTCATCTAAAGCAAAAAAAAAATAATTTATGATTTATTTAAATAAAAAAGAAAGCAATTGACGTATAGAATGAGAATGAAATAACAATTCATAGAAATTTAATAATAAAACGGATGAGATAACGAAGTTTCAGGATGTGGCTTCGATAAGCTAATTAATTTCTGTGGAAAATAAAATTTTCTGTTTCGTATTTTACTTAATAATTTTATCAATTACGAATTATTGACCAAGACAATAACGTTTATGAAAAAGTTGATAATGTTATAAAAACATTTATGGGAGTAATTTTTTTATCTCTCAACACATAGATTGACAAAAACGGATGTGTCAAATGAAGTGAATGAATTTTATGGAGAAGAAAAAATAGTGTTACCCTATTAACACTAGTCACTGAGTAACGAAATGGAGAAGAAGTAAAAAATAGCTGTAGTATTGCATCTTTGAGTCATGTTAATATTTACATATGTATGTCTGTGTAACGATACAAAATTTGTGATATGATTCACTATAAATGGATAAGAAATAATATTGAGGTGTGTATAAATGTATATTAATAATTTCATATCTGCTCTTTCTTTACATTACTCATTCCAACTGTTCATATGGATTAAATTATCATATCTGTATATGAGTACATGTGTATATATTTGTTCATATCAATATTATATTGAGTCCACACATAAGTTTTTTACAACCCAGTCAGTCTCTATATAATAATAAGAAAATGAAGAAGATACATCACGGCTTCTTGAATTCATAAGCTTATTTACACTTATCACTTATCATAACCATATACTATATCAATTGTAAGAATTCGGATTCATATTAATTTTTATTTGCTTCTTAACTTATCAACTTATCATCAATACATTAAATTTTCAATTTTTACGTAGGAAAAAAATCGTATGATATAAATCAATAATCTAAATTCGAGTGTTGAAATTTTTTAGATATTCATAAATAATCTTACGTAAATTTTTTTGTCAAAGCAGTTCTTATAGTAGCTGAATGTTCGTTTAGAATTTTTGTATTTTTAATGACTCCCATGTCTATAATTAACTGAGGCGCTCATTATTTTTTAATGAAAACTGAAATTTTCTTCAACGCTGTGACAAAAAATTATTTTTACATTGATTTTTGGAGCGTAAATCAGGCTCAGTTATTTTAATTAAAATCTAAGTACTTTGAAAAAAATATTGTAATAATTTATGAATAATGTTCGAATCGAATTGTGGTATTTGAAATAGTCATTTTATAGCGTTATTCATTGAGAAACTTATTTTACATAATTATTCCAGATAATAAGGAAATAATGATTCATCGTAGTACAGTTCACAAAAGTTCATTATTTTCTCTAGTGTCCCCATTTTGACCCCTTTACTTAAATAAACTAAACTATTAGTGCAAGTGTTTTTTATGAAATTTATATCGCGTTACTAAAACCATAAGGGCGTCTAAAAAATTTTTTTTTGCTCCAATCAATGTAAAAATGTTGAAAACATTAACATCTATGGAAAAAACGAAGAAAAAAATTTTTTTTGTGATACGCTCTTATGGTTTCAAGAAAAAGTTTTTCTAAAACCATAAGGGCGTATCCTGTTTTTTTGGTTTATTATCAATTATAAATAATAAACCAAAAAAAATAGTCAGAGTAAGAAAAAACATTAGGAAAACGGTTGACCCTAAAGGCCATCCCTGCAACTTCCCGCTAATTCCGTTAATACATGACCGTTTTTTTTGAGCTCTTCAAGCTCAAAAATACAATCTTTGTATTGTTTTGAGCTCAAAAGTTTGATAGAAGTTTCATAGAACACTATTTTTTGAATTTTCAAACCGCAATAACTTTTGAATGAATGAACCGATTTTTACGCGGTCTGCGGCATTCTACGCAGTTTTTTAAGCCTCATAAAGAATTTCTAAGTTTCAATTGGTCAAACTAGAAATTTCGGAGTAACTCCGAAAAAACACTTTTTTCGGTTTTCTTTCGTTCACGATATCTCTCGAACGAATCAACCGATTTTGACCAGATTGGCGGCGATCGACGTGGTTTTTCAAGGTTGAGAGCTGATTAGTTTGTGGAATCGATCGGTAGAGCCGTTTAAAAGTT